ATTACACATGTCTTTTATTTTCTGGTATTTACTATTACGGTATTTGCGGTATTTACGGTTTTACGGTTTTACGGTTTACGTTATTTACGGCAAATAATACAGCACATGCTGTAACCGTATTATTTCTGTTTGGGAATTCCGATGACAAGTATAGTCTGTCCTCCCAAAAAAAACCAATAGGATAAATAATTAATGTGTACACGTGATCAAATCACAACTTCTTTTTTTAACGTATCTTTTTTCTTTTTCTTAAAAATAAATTTTTTATCAATGCCTCGCGAACAAAGGAACAGAGAAGAAAATAAAAAACAACACGGGTAAGTGTTTTAAGAATGGTGATTATTGTCACTCATCATCACTCTAGTTTATTTCACTACTCATAACTCAAATTCAAATACTGTTCCTCTCAGACAAAAGCTTCTTAAAAGTGACGAGAACTGTGTAGAAAATCAAAGGGAAGATACTTTGGAAAGATATAAAAAATTGATGGTGTGTAAAATGCTTTATAATATTAATATTAAGCATAATGTAATTTTAATAATCTAACAATTGCATTTTTTCAAAGACAATGGACGATGATACTTGGATTTTAAAGAATGAAGTTGGAGTAATAGGAAAAGTTGTTGAATTTTTAGAAGATGACAAAAAGGATCACATAATAAACGAAGTGGCATTTAATCACCCTCTTCTATCTTGTGTTATTGATTTGGACATAGTGAGCAAGGTGACAACAAAAATTTTTTTATCTAATGAATTAAATGAGATGATGAAATGTAAAAGAGTCACATCCTGGAAAATTGTGGATGATGAAATGAAAAAATGGGTTGCTAGTCTCATGAAGACTGATGATATGGAAATTCCTTCAAGGTTAAATCATGAAGAATGTGCTTACATAGTAAACATATATACACATTTGTAAGTTTTATTATGCATAAAGAGAGATTTGGTCAATTTTATTTCAAATCATTTTGATGGTAACATTTAATATTTGTGTAGACAAAAAATTTGGGAATCAAAATTGTTTGATAATCGACAACAAGGAGATGGAGAGATATTGGAGGACACATACATTCATGAGTTTATGCATCACATAATTTATACCACTATTCGTGACCTTTGCCCTTCATTAATAAGGATTGAATGGTAATACATAATATTCAATGTATGAAAAAATTGAGGTATTTGTAATATATATTTCTATTTTTAACATGGTCTTTTTAGGGGAACAAAACAATCCAAAGAAGGAAATGAACGAATTGAACAAAATTATGACCAAATATTTTTTAAAATGTCAAAATCTGCAAAAAAAACATATCAAAGCAATTTTGTATCTAGTAAAAGACCTGATTGGAAAGCATCATATTGTATCAATGATCATAAATACGAATTTTTATATGGAGAGGCTGCTGGCCCTCCCTTTTTAATGAGTGCTTTCAAAACAGAACAGGGTTGGCAAATTGACTGGTCCATTGAAACAGATGGATTTTGGACTGGTCCATTGCCATTAATAAAATACTAAATATGGTTAAAGTGTTACACTAATGGACCCAATGGACCACCAATGGACCATCAATGGACCACACATTTGCCAACCCTAAAACAGAAGGCGATAGAAGAAAAATCATTCGATTTCTTCTTCGTTGTAATAGGACATTAGGTAAGGTACTAAAGGAGCATTTTCCATCCAACACTGACGATGATTTAATAACATATGCCAGACAGATTCCCCGATTTGGAATGCTTCTTTATGGTATGATTTGATTATTTAAAACATTTCTAGATAATATAAACAAAATTTGATGATTATTTTAAAATTAGGTACTTGTTTAAAGATTGTTTACTATGACACCTCTTACAAAATCAGGCAAGTTCTACCACTATTGAATATGAAATTACCTCTTGATTCTAATTCAGACCAGACCTTGATTGAGAATTATCTTTATGGGATGTTGATTTTCCAACAGGCTATCAAAGAAACAAATAATATTAACAGCAGAATGAATGTTTTTGACAATAAAATTTATAATATTGTTGTTGAAGAAGATGTAGATATTCTGCGATCACCAAAAAGAACGAAAACAAACAATACAGATAATACAGATACTGCAATAATTACAGTTGAAGAATAAAAGCATGATTATTTCTCCTTTCTAAATATAACTTTAATTATTAATATTGAATATCTTTTAATAATAATAATAAAGGTTTAGACTGGTTTTCTGACATTACAAACATTACAAAAGGCATTCTATACATCAAAATATCATATTTTACCCTCCAATTCCAACTGAAAATGCATTTATAGAATTGATGCATATTTCAGTTGCAATTGCTGCATCTACAAGAGAACCACCTTCCTTCATTGCTATAATGAGTTTGATATCAAATTTAATTAATGTCATGAATACAACAAAATTACTACTATTATCATAATTGTCATCAACACCAATTTGGTTCCTTGGAGGCAGCAACTCCACTTTGCACAATAATTAAATGTTTTGTTTTAGATGCTTAAATTTTTTTTACCTAAAAATAAATGAACTGGTGATGTTTTTTATAATGTTCCAATGCAAGGCAGACCTGATGTAAAGTAGTTTCATATTAACTATTTTTGTCTAGACAAATACACAGGTAATACAATTATGATTTTAAACAAACATTATTGATCCCTGAAATTCTTTGTAATACCAATGTTCACTTTGTCTGGTTTTGTTGCAGCATGCCCCTTCTTTGATAAAGAACATGCCTTAACAAAATAGCTATTTCATTTTGTGTCCATCATTGTCCTGAATGGATGGACTGTTGGATTGTTATTAACTTCGCCATTGTCATTATTATTATTATCATAATCATCTTGATCTTGGCTCTCTCTATCATTATTAACTTCTACGTCACCATTGTTGTTATTATTGTTGTTATTATCTTGATCTCGGCTCTCTCTATCATTATTGACTTTGATATTGCCATTGTCATTATTATTATTACTATTGTTATTATCTAGATCTTGGCTCTCTCTATCATTATTAACTTCTACATCACCATTGTTGTTATTATTGTTGTTGTTATTATCTCAATCTCAGCTCTCTCTATCATTATTGACTTTGATATTGCCATTGTCATTATTATTATTACCAGGGTTGGCAAATTGACTGGTCCATTGAGAACAGATGGATTTTGGACTGGTCCATTGCAATTAATAAAATACTAAATATGGTCAAAGTTTTACACTAATGGACCCAATGGACCACCAATAGACCATCAATGGACTGCACATTTGCCAACCCTGATTATTACTATTGTTATTATCTAGATCTCAGCTCTTTCTACCATTATTAACTTCTACATCACCATTGTTGTTATTATTGTTGTTGTTATTATCTCGATCTTGGCTCTCTCTATCATTATTGACTTCAATATTGCCATTGTCATTATTATTATTACTATTGTTATTATCTAGATCTTGGCTCTCTATATCATTATTAACTTCTACATCACCATTGTTGTTATTATTGTTATTGTTATTATCTCAATCTTGGCTCTCTCTACCATTATTGACTTTGATATTGCCATTGTCATTATTATTGTTGTTGTTGTTGTTATTGCTTCGATCTTGGTTCTTTCTATCATCATTACCACCCTTTTTTTGAAAAAAAAAAACAGGTTAGATTACAATTTAATAAGTTTTGTTATTCATACTAAAACAATGTGTAATAATGAAAATACAACTTTAGCATTGTGAGATCAAAATCCGCATCTCACACAAATCTCTTGGATTTGGTTAGAATATTATTTATCCCTTCTTATGGCAGTATCCAATTATTTATTTCTTTGTTTACTTTCTTTCACTATAGTGCTCAAGCTATTTAAGTATTTGCAGGGCAAGTTTCCTTACTTCCCTTTCAGTAATGTTTTCTCAGCAGTTGCTATGTTTGCTGCCTGAGCCAGAACATGTCAATTATTATCTCCTCTGATAATAATCCCAGTATCCTTCTTGATACCAATGTGTTGTGTTTATATAGACGGTTCAGTGTTTCTAACTGACTGCACCTAGCTAGGGGTTTCCTCTGTTTAGGCATTGGCCTAATCTAAAAATAAAGAAAATAAAAGTAAAGAAATATATAGAAATATACTTATCAAAGACGTCCCCTGGTAAGATAGTAATTAATTTATTAATTATGAAAATGTAATTTTCGAAGATAACAAGGACAAGGTCAAGGTCAAGGGTTATTTATTATAATAATATTCGAATTTACAAAACTTTGAGTTAATTAAAACTAACTAACTAACTAAAGATTACATGAAAGAGAAATTTACAATGTATTTATACATTTTAGAGGTTCTATCATCTAGTTCTCCGATTTCTTTAAAATCCTAAATTATACTAATTAATGTATTCTTTAATCATTATTTAAACCTTCCATGTAGAATTATTTTCAAGTAATTTCTAGTCAACATGAGTCATGTAAAATTCTTTCATTTAAATATTATTCTGAGACTTTGTAATTCGTTACATTTTAGAATGTTGGAATATTTATATTTCCAATATTTCTGTGAGTCAATTATTTTATTGGTGTTTGAATAAATTGAACTATTATCACTTGATCAGTTTTTCCGATTTTATTTACATGCAACTTTTTGTAAATCATTTCTGATTTATATGTTTGTTTCCTGTGATTTATAATTTACTATTTTACAATATGCAGATCACAAAAAAAATCACATATATATGACATTAATTAGTTTTGATTTTCTTATAATGTCACACGCCCCAACAGTACATGCATGAGCTGGTAAACTTGTTGTGTCATGCAATATTCATGGGGCTTTGCCGAAAAAAGAAATTGTCACATGTGTACAAGATTGTGATACATGAACATTCAAAAAAAAAACATGACTTCAATTGATATTATTGTTATCCTAGTTACTCTGGTAAGTCCCATGAATGACTCAATTTGAGATCCGAATATCTTTCTCTGACCTTACTAGCTCTTCTTTCTTAGATGAACAAGCACACAAGCTGATCATACTATGAGTTTTTGGCTCTTCCGGATGAATGGAGTGGTCTTGACAGTTCCTGGTGTCATGGATTTTTGAAAGAAGCAGAAAGGCACAATACAAAAGACCTTGCAACTTTAAAGGTCAACGTAGCATCTTTCTTTTATTTAACCAAGGGAGCTCTTGATTAGTCCACATTCTAGTCAGGAGTATCAGTCCACATTCTGGCCCAAGTGATGGTGGTGGCTAAGGTTGTGGGCAAAACCTCCTTAGTAATTGCTGAAACCATGGCAAAACTATATTAAATCTTATCAAAAATCCTGTTGAAACTATGCCAAAATGGCAAAACCTCAAAATGCAAAACTCTGCCAAAACTCTAATAAACAATTAATGTGTAACCTGCTGAAACCCTGCTGATTGATTTCTGGATGAGTTTTGGCAAGCAACCTTAGTGGTGACACTCTAGGTTAGTCCACATTCTGACTCAAGAGTATCAATCCACATTCTGAGTCATCACCATTGCAAATCTGCATCTTGTCTGCTTGAAGTTGCTATTTAGATGTCAACTTGTCATTGTATTTTTTTACAACTAACTTTTACTTTTTCACTATATTCTTACTGCAAAGGTGGATTCTGAACATTCGAAAAATGGATTACAGGCATATTGGGAGTATATGATCTGTTGATGAAAGAAGGTAAATCTTATATATATATTGGTGTCTTTTACTTTTGTCAAGATGTTACTAACATGCAAAATAGTTGGCAGTGAAGCACATCCACATTCTTGGAAGTCTTAGTCTACTGGAAGATGCCAGAAATATAATGTTGAAGATCTCTCTTGGAAGGATTTTTGGACTCTTTACCCATTGACATGTTGTGTGTGTCTAAACATGTTCTTGATAGTACAGGTTTAATTTCTTCTCAAGAGATCAAGAAGGTTGGCATAGAATACATCCACATATAACACAAGAATATTACCTCACCTTTTTATATTTTGGATATGATACAGATCAAAACTGGTGAAAATGAAGTTCAAATAGATTTGACCAGGGTTGGCAAATTGACTGGTCCATTGTCATTAATAAAATACTAAATATGGTCAAATTGTTACATTAATGGACCCAATAGACCATCAATAGACCATACATTTGCCAATCCTGGTTTATAGACACATATCAAACAATGAACAATAGCAAAAAATTGGTATTGATGTCAGGAAATGTTGTCAAAGATGAGTTGTACAAATTTGGCATGAGATGTAATCAAGAGCAGTAAGTGTTAGTTAATCCTTTTGAATTTGACCATTTGTCATTTAAGATATTTACATGTCAAAAGTCTCTGCCACCCTTTTATCATTGATCCAGATGATGAAAGTCTCATTAATATTAATGAAAAGGTCTTTAATAAAACTGAGTTCAAGGAAATTTGCACCTATGAACAGAAATTATTTCCAGACACACCTCAAGATCTACTGACATATCTCAGTAAATACAAAGCTGTATGTATTTTCTATGTTATATCATAGTTTACTGGGGTTGGTCACAATGGTTGATCATCAAAAATAATAAACATCAATAATAAATTTTCATATATGCGGATTTTTTAAA